CATATATTTATATTAAAAAAATTTGTAAAAGCATAGAAATATTAAAATACAAGTTTATATATTTATTATTGTTGACTTGACGCAAGATTAACGAGTAGAATAAGTCTACTTATAGTTGAAAAATAACATATTATATAATGTCTAAATGTTAATTTTTTTTTTAAACTGGTTGTATATTATTTTAACTAAATAGTTTATCTATATTTTAAACAAAAATTATAATAAATATATCTTTATATTTCAAACAAAAAATGCAATCTCTTAACTATCGACCTATAGATCGTATAAGTAACACGAGTAAATATACGCGCTTTTAAAAAAAGTTATTGTTTATAGTTTTCCGCGTTTTTTTTTTGTTAACGATTTTCATAGAAATCTCTTGAGTATAATTTAGACTTTACAATGGTATCTTTTTTTTTTAATTTCCATTGAACTAATCGTTACTAAAATTCATTCAAACGTAAAGTCGACAGGAAATCTGTTGACTTATGAAAAGTGTCGACTTGACGATGGTTATAGGGACATAGTTTGTCGACTTTGAGCTGACCTAGTCTTATATATATATATATATATATATATATATATATATATATATATATATATATATATATATATATATATATATATATATATATATATATATAATTTTAAATGAAAAAATACAACTTTATAATGGAATAAAAAGTTTCATGCCTTTAGGCAATCATCAGCCATACTATTCAAAAATATAAAGTAAAAACCGTAAAAAAAAAAATACAAGTTTAGCGTTGCAAGGGTTGATGCCCTTGCAACGCTAAACTTGTATTTTTATTTGATTTGATGCCAGATTTGTATTCATCAAATCTGGCATCAAATACATATTATCAAGTTTGGGTAAAACATATGATCAGGTTTGGATAAAAAGATAAACATGATCAAGTTTGGATAGAAAAATTGAGCAGTTTGTTTGATGTTACCATGGGTAAGTGTATATAAGTGTATAAAAAATAAAAATAGTATGTATATATATATATATATATATATATATATATATATATATATATATACATATATATATATTTTTATTTGTATTCACTCCCAACAAGGCTGCAAGCAACCACTATTAAGTTGGGAAAGAACAAAGTTACAGAGCAAGGAAACGGTTGACAGAAGACTTGAAAAGTTGAAGGTCGTAAGAGTCAGGAAAACATGAAGATGGGAGAGAGTTCCAAAGGATTGAAGTGCGGGGAAAAAAACTAGATGAATAAAAGTTTTTAGAGCATGCAGGGACAGATACTGTAAACGAATGAGACTTAGCTAAATAACGAGTAAAACGAGAATGAATTTTAGTTGATGGAAATAGAGATGATAACTCCTTTGAGCAGTGACCATGATAGTATTTGTAGAAAAGAGAAAGAGATGCAACTTTACGACGATGGGAAAGAGGCTCAAGCTTAGCAAATAGTCCAGGTTCAACAACATTTACAATGCATTTTTGGACCTTGTCAAGAAGAAAGTGAATCGTTAGAAGAACCAGCCCAAATATGACAACAGTATTCCATACAGGGACGAATAAGAGATTTGTAGAGATAGAGAATGGAATCAGAAGTAAGGAAATCGCAAGCACAATAAAGAGAAGCAACCTTAGCAGAAGCTAATTTAGCAATCTGAAGTGAGATTGGATTCAAGATCAGCTGCTTGTTCTAGGCGATCGAAAAGAGAAGAATTTTTGTCAAGACAGGAGTATAAAGTTGAATGATCAGCAAAAAGAGCTACTTTAGATGAAAGGTTGTCAGGAAGATCAATTATGTAGATAAGAAACAAAACAGGGCCCAGGATGGAACCTTAAGAAACCCCAGAATTTACTGAAAAAAAAGAAGAGTGTTGGCCTTGAAGGATGACTTTAATAAACCGGTTAAAAAGAAATGATTTGATAATCTCAAAAACTTTCCCAGAAACACCATATGAAGCAAGCTTATGGAGAAGACCAGTATGCCAAACTTTGTCAAAAACTTTAGATATGTCAAGAGCAATAGCCCTAGCCTCACCGTCTCCATCTAATGCACGATAAAATCTTTCAGTTACAGCAGTTAGCAAGTCGACCGTAGAGCGAGAGGATCGAAAACCATATTGATTGTCTGACAGTAGTTTATTTAACTCAAGATGAGATGTGAGGAATTTGTTGATCAAAGACTCAAAGACCTTGCTAGTAACAGAAAGAAGACTGATCGGACGATAATTGGAGGGGTCAGAATTTTCTCCAGAGTTTTTGAATATTGGAACCACAGATGCCATTTTCCAACAAGCAGGAAAACAAGACTCAGTCAAACACTTGTTAAATAGTTTAGAGAGAATTGAAGAAAATTCTGGAGAACAATTCTGCAAGACTGTGACAGGAATGTTGTCTGGACCACAAGCTGTAGACGAGTTTAATTGAGATATGACTTTAGCAACAGAAGCCGGAGTGATTTGAATGTCTAACAATGGGTCAACCTGTTTGACTGGAATGGAAGGAAGAGATTGTCCATAAGATTCAAAAGTGGAATTAGAAGAAAAGTTCTTCGCAAATAGTTCTGCCTTATCCTTGGGAGAGGTAATAAGATCAGTTCCATGAATGAGAGATGGAATGTTAGATCTACCCTTGTTAATAATGCTGTTGAAGATTTTCCAAAAGTCTTTGGAGCCTAACTTCTGTGATAAGATGCGAGATTTAGTGAGAATAATGGAGTTTAGCATCAGAAAGCACCTTTTTATATCTATTTCTTGCAATAATAAATAGCCGTTTGTTCTCAAGAGAGTTGTTCTTTTGAAAAAGATGAAAAAAATGGTTACGATTGGATATAGCAGCCGCACAAGAAGGAGAAAACCATGGAGTAGAATGAGGCTTGACTTGAAACCGACGAGAAGGAATAAAAGCTTCCATTTCAGCCTGAATCCAGGAGGTTACGTAGGAGGCGCATTTGTCAGCTGAGAGAGAAAAAACATCAGGCCAAGGACCATCACAAAGAAAATCACCAAAAGAATCCCAGTCAACTTTAGGGTAGTAGTAGGTGGTGCGATGATAAGGTGAGCCCAAAAAAGAAGTACAAGAAGAAAGATTTATAGAGATCATTGCATGGTCAGAACCACCTAAGGGAGAAAAGGGAGAAACTGAACATAAGCTAGGATCAGAGACAAGACATAAGTCAAGGAGCGAAGGTAAATGATTAGGGTTGTCAGGAAAACGAGTCACAAAGTTAACTATCTGAGTAAGAGATTAAGAAACGCAGAAGTTAAAGGCTTTAGTGCCAGCAAGATCAGTGGTGTTAGAGTCAAGCCATTCAGTGTGATGGGCATTAAAATCACCAACAATAACAATATTGGCAGAGGGGTAAAGAGAGAGAGCATGGTCAATTTGATCAGAGATAACATCTAAAAGAGTGCAATCAGGGGAAGAAGGAGAACGATAAAGAACAAAGAGAAAGGCGATAGAGTGAAGAGGTGCTAGGCGAAAGCACATAAAAGAATGGTCGAAGGATTCGAAACTGATTTCACGACAAATAGGGGAATTAATGCGTATGTATACCCCTAAACCTAGAAATATAAAGTATAAAACCTAGCAAATATAAAAAATAAAAATAAAAAAACAAAATTGTTGATTACAAGATTGAGCTTAACTTTTTCTATATTAATATAAATCCTTGGAAAGTTGGTAAAAAAAAAAAAAAATACAAAGAGAAACAATAAACTATTTTTGAAAAATTAAACTCATTTAATAAATAATAAATCATATGAACTTAAGTAAGAAGTTAGAAGAAAAAAATTAAATTCATTTTATAATTTTTACCAACTACAAAAAAAAGAAAAAAAAGATTGAAACTAATAACTTATAACTTTTAAATTTATTTAAAAAAAAAAACTCTCAACAAACTTACTTGATACTTAAAGGCCATGGTCATGAGATCATAAAGCTAAAAAAAAAAAAATTTTACCTCAGTTTTAATTTAAATTTATACTAACTTCCAAAATATTTCTTAAACTAACTCTGCCTCAACTGAGCAAAAGTGCTGCTTTATTTCAATAAAGATATATATATATATATATATATACATACATACATACATACATACATACATACATACATACATACATTTATATGTTTTGTTTACTATATATATATATATATATATATATATATATATATATATATATATATATATATATATATATATATATATATATATATATATATATATATATATATATATATATATATATATATATATATATATATTAATATAGACATTACAACTATATATATATATATATATATAATATATATATATATATATTAATATAGACATTATAACTATATATATATATATATATATATATATATATATATATATATATATATATATATATATATATATATATATATATATTAATATAGACATTATAACTATATATATATATATATATATATATATATATATATATATATATATATATATATATATATATATATATATATATATATATATATATATATATATATATATGCATATATATATATATATATATATATATATATTTAACATTAAAGCGATTGTTATTATCTAAGTAATTTTTTTTTGAGCTATTTTTTACAAAAAGTTTAATAACTGTACTTTTTTATTGAATCAAGTAGAATATGTTTTAATATTAATCCTTTTATTTTTTTTTATTTGCGCTTACCAATTTTTAAAATGTTTCCTCGAAATTACTCTTAAATACTTTAAATACGTCTAACAGTAATATTTTTAAATCCATGGAATAATTTTAAAACCTAACAAACCCCCGTAAAATAAATATTTAAGTTAAAAATCTAAAATTAAAGAAGAAAGTATTTTTGTTCAATTTTATCGACAACTTTGCTATTGCTGAATAATTTTATTAAAATGTTAGCTTAAAAAGATTTAAATTTTTTTTAATCTGAATTTTTGCTACTTGTAAATAAGTTTTTTAACTTTTAATAAATTTTTTCTACTTTGAGGCAAAGAACTTGGGCTGCGTTGTGATTTTGTAACTGCTGATGATGTTATTAAGGCATTATTAAAAGTTTGACAAATTTGTAATTTTAATTTGTCAATGTTGTCTTCATTTAATGGAAAAAGCCCAGTGTTTTCAAAACCAGCAATAATTTGAGTACGAGTGTAAGCTTTGTTGCTTTTATATAACTGTGCAAGCAGACGAGGGAAAATTTTTTTAGACAAATTGCTAAAACCATTTTTAGCATAAAAGTTTCTTAAAATATCACGCCAAACATCTTTAACATGGCAAAATACACCAACATCTAAAGGCTTCAGAATGTGAGATGAATGGGTGGGAATGCAAATTAGTATTATATTGTTTTCTTTACACTTTAAGGCTACATTTAATGACACGTGTGTAGTGTGGCCATCCGAAAGTAAAATATGTTGACCACCAATTTTTTGAATGTGAGGAAAAAACATTCCATCGAGCTACTGCAAAAATTGTGTACTTTCTATCCAACCAGATGCTGATGTTGTGTAAATTGTATTTGGTGGACCTCCTTTAATCCAATCATCATAGAGTCTATTTTTTGATTTGTAAACAACAAAAGGCGGTAGAAGGAAACCATCACCATTAACACAATTGAGAACAGTATACTTTATTTTTTTGTTATTTCCAGTCAATAATAGTGGACACTTTGCACCTCTTCTGATAATTACTTTCGCATCGCCTTTGTCACCATTGAAACCAGTTTCATCACAATTCCACAAATACATGGGTTTACTAAAACATATTTTTGCTAAATCAAAATTTAATTTTCGGTCGGATAAAGTTGATTTTGGTATGCGGTAGAACTGAGCTGTGCCTCTTAAGCTTAACTCGCTATTTTCAATCTTTTTCAATCGTTTTTAATTGTCCCTTCAGTGTATGGGTTCTCATTTGTTTTATTTTTTGCCATTATAAGTTTTGTAAATTCAATTCAGTTACAGATTTTTGAAATTGAATGAACAAAGCACTTTTGTGGTTACTTTGTGTACTTTTGCATTTTAACTTCAACGATATAAGTGCAAAAGTACAAAACTAATTAACATGAAAGTGTGAAAAATGTGAAAAATCCCAAATGAAAAAACTCAGTCAGTGTGAAAAAATTATAAAATAAATTAACTTTAACATAATAAAAAAAATTCAACTACAGTAAAATAATAATAAACAGATTAAGCTATGAACTCTTAATTGATTATAGGGTAAAATTATTGTGTCCGGTTTAAGGTGAAGAAAATCTTATCTTCATCATAACTTTTTAACGAAGTAAGATTATAAAAATCTAAGTTTATTTTTGAAATTAGCAAAAAAATTCCAACAAAATAGTTTCTGTTGTTTTTAAATTGCCTTTTTAAATCTTTCATGCTAAGAACCTAATTTCAAAAAAAAAGTTTGATTTTTAGGGTTAGGTTTTGTTTGAACTTAAATATCTTATTAAAGCAATCATAAAAATATATTTTTTTTCAAAATTTATAAATTTCCACACAGTAAAAATTAAAAACTTTTTTAAATTTTTCAAATATCTTTATTTTTAGTGAAGATATTTAGTTTTTTCGATAAGCGTCCGCTTTTATGCACTGTCCAGTTTGTGGTACTTTAACTCTATTACATTTTTAAAAACATATATTTTAAAAAATATATAATTTTAATTATTAAGAATAATTTAAAAAATTACATTTAAATAAATAAATTACATTTACTATATTTTAAAAAGAATAGAATATATTTTAAAAAGAATGAAAGGAAAAAAACTGTCTGAAAAAGTTTATACTTCGTTTTTTCGTTTTCCTTAAGTAAACTAAAATAGCAAGCTAAAGATCAAAAGTTTATTCATTTAAAAATTAAACTAAATTAAAGTTACGTAAAAAAGCAATTTCTTTTTATATCTTTTTATTTTCCTGAATAAAAAATGAATAGCTAAATTAAACTGAGAATTATTTATATACTACTACATTTAAAACTAAACTTTTTTTTCTCTTTTTCATAAAAAATAAAAAGGAAAATTAAAAAAAAAAAATTTTTGGGCGTTTTTTTTTGGGTACCCATACCGGTAAATTGGTACTAAAATGCATATGGGTTCTTCACTGAATAATGTTTTAAAGAATGAAGCAATTAAATTTTGTGTAGTAAATTACGTATATAGCAAATTTATGAATTAGTGATTTTTTAGTTTTGAAGTTTGTTTTTTTTTTTAACAAAAAAAATGGTCATAGTTTATTTATTACATTAATTGGTTATTTAGATTGCTCATAGAAAGAACGTTGTTTAGAAATACAAATTTAGTTTATGTGCTGTAGGCAAAGATTTTGTTTAAAATGGCAAACTGTTTAACAAAATGAGTAAACAGTTTACATCCTGTTGTTTAACTTCTACAAGAAATAAGCATTTAATTCTCAAGTAGTAGGGGTGGTGTTTTTTAATATTTAATTGTAGTATAGAATGAAATTGTAACTATATGTAAATTGATGGAGAGAAAACAAAAGTTAAAAATACTAAAAATAGTTTTTTTTTATATATATATATAAACATTGTTTCCGCGCAATGGCAATTGTCTTTTTGACACAATTTACTCATTATCAGACTCAAGTTATTTTTTTTAGAACTGATGTTCCCCGTGCAAACGTTTCTGTTGCTAATTTAGCACAGCCTTTATTTTCATTATGACAATTTTTTAAAAGCTCTGAATACTCTTCGCAAGTTTTACACCATATTAAAATTACTTCACCTGAATCATCGGTTTGAAATCCGCAGGATTTAAACCCCCATTTTTCAATGTCAGTTCTGTTAGGCATTATGTCTTGTTTTAAGCTTGCTTACTGTATTACTGTTGCGTCTGTTGCAATTTAATGGAAGCCTCAACTTCTATTAAATTAAAAAAAGTTTTGTAACTAATGTTTCTTCTCCGCATGTGTTTAATATAACTATACCAAGGCTAAACTTTGCTAATATACTTTGCTGATCTTAAATAATATTTAAAAAACCGTAAACATGTAAATTATTTTATTAGTTAAATGGTTTTAACTAATAAATTAAAATTGTATTTTATAACTTAATAAAATAATAATTGCGCTTAAAAAAATCGTGAGAACAACAGGCATTTAAAAAGTAATATTTTTTAACCTTGCTATGCTTGAATAAATATGAGAAAAAAAGAATTGAAAAAAAATGAATAAATTTTTGTTTTAAAAAAATATGTCAAACTTGAAAAGCAAGTAATTACAATAAAAAAATTATAAAATAATATTTAACAAATATTATTTTACAATTTTTTATTTAAAGTATTTCAATTTGCATCCTGACACTTTAGGATATTTAGTTCAGCAGTTGTATGCTGTCCTAAAGCAAAGATAGGTCGGCTTTTGCATCAGCATTGCCAAATGCTGACCTGAATTTCGCTGACTGACATACTACATATTTTTTAACAATCACTGAGCAAACAACAATGATTTGTTAAACGCTAAACAAACAACAATGAAGAATGTTTGGAACACAAATACTTTCATTTGGGTATTATGTTTGCTCAAAGGAAAAGTGAGATCGCAAGTAAAATTTGTGGCACTAAATATAAAAACTAGATAATACAAAAGAAAACAACAAAAAGTATAAATTAATAAACAGATATTCATTAGTTTTTTGTTGTTGTTTTTTCATATAACAAGCCTTCCCAGGAAATGCATGGGGTTTTTTGTCTTGTATTTCCACACATGAGTATTTTATTTTAGACAACTTGGTCATGGCCATTTGCAAGTTTTATTATATTAAGTGTTGTTTTAAAAACAAAGAAAAATAACAAAATAGGAAATTAAAATAAATGCAAGTAGAAAAAAAAGAAAAAAAAAATTAAATAATTTGTGGTTTTCATTTTTTCTCTTTTTAAACTTCATAGTTTGTTCAGACATCTTAAATATTTTTGTTACATAATTGGATAATTTTCTTTTCTATTCTGTTCTGTAGAAACTTTTCTTTTATTGGAAATCCGCTTAAATGGAGTATTTTTCTCTCAGTAACAAAGAGGAAAACTCTAGATGATGTTTTAATGTTAAATTTTATCCAAACCTTTGTGGATCATTAAGAAAGTATTGTAATTATTTTTTATATTCTATTCACATATTCTGTGTTATCATTACGATATACTATGTGTTGGATCATTAAGAAAGTTATTATTTTTTAAATTCACATATTCTGTGTTATGAAAATAATAACAATATCTTTATAATAATTTAACAATATGAAAGATTTTTCTGTTGCTACTGTCAATTTTGAAAAAAAGAAAAAAGGTTGTACTTCAAACTACACAGTACCGTAACATGGGGTTACTTCAATCGACTTTACTGTGATTTTTGGTTTTAATTATCAATTTTGCTCTATTCAAAATATTTTTTCAATCTTTTTTTTATTCAAATTATTGATAAAGATATCAACCTTTAATTCGAACTAATTAATTTATAAAATAGATCAAAAACAGATAAAGTTTTTAATTTTTCAAAAAGTGGCCTAATGTTACTCTGAGTAGGTGTTTCCATGTATACTTGATGTGCTGTTTTGTTTCATTTACATTCAAATTACTTAAATAATTACTTTCATAATGTTAAGACAAATACTAACTTAAAATTTACTTAAAGAAATATCTCAAAATTGTTAAAACAAATGTCCTTTGATCTAAATAAAGACAAAAAAAAAAAAAAAAAGGAAAAAAACTTTTATTGTATTAAATTTTTTTGTTTTGTTTTGTAATAACAATAAACAACAACTTAATTAGTAGGTAGGTTATCTACTCTGTACAAATATTTAATGTTTAAAAATAACTGTTTCAGTCAGATTTAAAGGCACGTAGCATACACTTATACTCACTCTTAGATGTTACATTAGAGATATCACATTCAACTTTTTTTCATTTCTGGGACGCTTTAACAGTATTTTTGACTGGTATAACATCTGATTTTTCTGGATCAGGGCAGATTCCTTTTCCTGGTGGAACATTTAATTTTTTTTGCGTTTTAATATTGAAGCTCCAAGGTCTGCACAATTGTCATTCAAATGACTGATGAATGCTGTAGAAATAAGACTTAGATCAACAGATGATTGATCCTGCAGTTGCAGGCGATTAATAAGAGGTTCTTCATTTACAAGGAAAAATTCCACACTTAGCAAAACCTGATATCAAATTTTTACTAGAAGCATTTTTTATTAGTTTCAGCACTTTTTTTAGAAGTGATGGAAAGTGTTCTTTTGGAAGTGTTATGGATTTTTTACCTGCAGGTGATTCTTTCCACGAAGTCAAAACAATTTTCCACTTATTTTTTAGTGGCCTAAAATAGACAACATCTAGAGGTTGTGTCAAATGCGATGAGTTAGGTGGTAAACAAACAAATACTATGTTATTTTCTTTACACATTTTAAAACATTTTAAAACATTTTGACTGATATGTGATGACAAATTATCCCCAATAAGAACTTTTTTTCCAGTCTGTTTTTTCAGTATAGGAAGCAGGTAAACCATTCCTCCAATGTAACACTATCTAACCATCTATGTTCTGTGTGATTGTACCTTATTCCATGGGAACCGTTTTCAGTCCACGTGGACCACAGATTTTCTGATTTGTAGACAACATAAGGTGGTATTGTATATCCAGCAGCATGCCACAAAACATGACTGAAATATTGGACTTTGATGAGTTCATTACTCTTTCAGGGTATTTACAGCCTCTACGACATATAACTTTTTTTATGTCCTGGGTCATCACTTAGGTTTGTTTCATTATAGTTGTATATATTTTCTGGTTTCACATTTGTAGCAACTTGGGTGAGGTTTTCAATATACTCACTTAAGGTTTTTTTATTAATAGCAGTCCAATAGCGTTTTATATTGGCTACCAAACGCAAAGTGAGCATAGGATGTCTTTTTAAAAACATTTTACTCTATTCTAGTCCTGGAAAATTATTTCTGAACTGTGGAATAGTTTTATTTTGCGAAGTAAGGTAATCCTTCACAATAAACCTAAAATCCAATTCATTCACAGGGAATCCTAACTCAGACATTGCCAAGATGTTGTAGGATGCTCTGGGTTTTGATTGCGTTTTAGCTTTAGTTTGTTTTGTATGGTAGTTCTACGTATGCCAAAATGTTTTGATGTTTCTCTCTGCCTCATTCGAACTTCATTAATAGCAGAAAGACACTTACAGAGCTTTTTTGGAGAATAATCTACATATTTTCTGGATCCCGCTCTTCTAATATAAATTCTAGGCATTTTTATTAGCTGGAATATAAATCAATCAATATATTTTACTATTAAAAAACACTGTTTACAACATAGTAAAATTAATACAATACTATTTTTATAAAGGGGAAATGCAAAGAAACCTTTTTGAAGAGACTATGAAAAGACACTTTAGTGAGAGGACAGTGCAAGTAATACAAGACTAATTAATATAATAATATAATAAATAATATAATTAAAAAAATAACTACAGACAAACAAAAACCGAAGAAACAAAAAATAAAATCATTAATATATAATTATTATACATTAATATAATTATATTAATATATAAAAAATTTTAATTATTATATATTATATAATTAATATATAATTATTATAATAATTGTATATTAATGATTTTATTTTTTGTAATAATATTATATCTATTAACAACTTTAATTTATCATAATTGTTATAATAACAATGATAATAATAATAACAAAAATAAAAATAGCAATAATAAATATAATAAAGAAAAAAATCATATCACCAAAGTAAATAAGCAAAAAGTATATCCATTTAATATAAATAAAATGATTGGAGATTTTATTTATATGGGGTTACTTTAAGTCCAGGAAGATGATTATTCATTAGATGTAAAACTTTTGTTGTTTCAATATAAAACAAATTCATTTATCATTTATTTCATATTTGAGAAGAATAAATCATTTTTCAACTAAAACAAATTCTAAAAAGTGTAAATTTCACATAGGCCAGTTTAGATTTTAAAATATTTTTACAATACTAAACCATAGTATAACTTTTTCTCCGTTGTTTTTTCAGTTGTTCAATGGCATGCATACTTTATCATACATATTATAAAATGTGGTATCAATCTTTTATTATTTTCATAAACACTTTATTACTCAAAACACTTTTTACTATTTTTTTTTTAAATCAAACAACTAATATAAAAAATAATAAGGCTAGAAAATATGTTCCTATAAAAATAATTGTCAAGTGCATCTTGTAGACATATTTTAAAATATCTGTAATTTGACAAAAATCACTTTTAAACTATATTTGATAAAATAAAAGGTCACAAAAAATATACAATAAGAGCAAATACCTTATCCATACTAGCAGAATTTAAACGCATAATAGAAGTATGGGCTACACGATCAAAAACAGTACGCATTGCTTTCCTGGAGTAAGCATCTTGAGGCTTAAAAAGTTCTTCCATAAACTTTGTGTTCAACATGGAGTTCAAAATGTCATAAAGAACTGTAAAAAAAAAAATTTTAAGTGTAATTTAGAAAAAAGTTAATTTACTTCCTTTATGTCAGTTATTAAAGATTTTATTTTAAAGGTGTTAAAATAAAATATATAAATTTACACTATTGATGCCATTTTTAAACGGACAATTACAATTTGTTTTTTACTCCACTTTATTTAATTAACATAAAATTAAATATATATTTAATTAACATAAAATTAAATATATATTTAATTAACATAAAATTAAATATATATTTAATTAACACTCAATTAAATATATATTTAATTAACATATAATTAAATTTATATATTTAATTACATTAAATTAAATATATATTTAATTAATTATTTAATTAGCATAAAACTAAAAAAAGTAAAATTTAAGTTGTTTTTGTTAGTACTTCTAGTACTTTTCTTTTTTTCTTAATTCATATATGTTACACAAAGTGCTACTTTAGTAGAAAATGTCTTGTCTTTAAAACTAATAAGTACTCTTATAGCATAATTTAATAGCATAAGTTAATGTTATAATTTACAGCTTGAGTTATAACTTAAAGTTTAAGTTGCAGTTATAGCGTAATGAGCAAGTAACATATTTAATACTATTTACGATATTACTTCTAGAAATTGCTTTTACTTAACATGACACATAAAAAAGCAAAAGTAAAAACGCAAATATTACAATAATGAAATCAAATAATTACAATAATGAAACCACTTAAATTAGTTATAGAAAACTATTTAATATCCCTTTCATGTTGACAATAAATTACATTTTATTTTTAAAGAGTATTAAAAAAAAAAAGTAAAATGACACTGCAAAGTTGCTAAAATGACACTGAAAAAATGCTTTGTCAATATAAAGAGCTTGTGTTAAAAGGTGTTAACATAACAACTTTATGATGTTTGATTGCTGTTTTATACAGTTTATATTATTAACAACATAAAATGCATTTAAAATAAAATGAAGTAAATAAATAGAATTGTTCAAATAAATTAAAACATCATCACCATAAAACTTTAAACTTCATATTTGCCATACGATTAAACTCTATATATGAAAAGCAAACTCAAAACTATATACAAAAATAAAACTTTATGTGAAGAACTATATTTACTTAACTTAATATACAAAAAGAATAACATTTCCAGATGTTTTTTGTTATTAGTTTGAAAAAAATTATAAAATTTTAACTAAGACAACTTTTGCATTTAAACAAATATGTTTTCTATAATATAAGTTCATTGTTATTATTGGCAGATAACAGATTTAATACTTTGTTTTTATTTTTTTAATACTTATAAATATAATTTCTATTGTAGATTTAATTAATAATATTATGATGTTTATTGGATAGATCTAAAAACTTGTGTGCGTCTTCATTACTTGGAAACCAGTATGTCATTCGCATACCAGAAAAATAATTTTTTGAATAATACTTAGTAAATGCAGAAATTATTAGTTTATAGTAAAATTTACTTATTTACTCCAGCTGAGGTCTGTTAAATGTAACTATAATAATTTTGAGTATTTTCAATTTTTTGTATTTACTTGATCTGATATACCATATCTACCAGCTTTCTTGACTAGATTTGGTAAGCCACTCTCATTTGCTGCTTGCGTAGCAGTAACAGACAAGAAATCACTGTCACTGAGATACACTTCACTATCATTATCTTCTTAACTTGAGTCCGTCATAGTATCATCATAGTATCATTCTTTATTAGCACGCTTCTTTTTTAAACGACTCTGCAATCTGGTTCTATTGCTGTATCAACACCATCAATAAATATAAAACGAGAATTTCTTTGATCTAGTACTAGATCAAAGAAATATTATTATATAACAATTATTACTACTATAGTAATAATAATTGTTACATCAGTGGAAATTTCAATTCTATAGGATACTTGCAGAAAACAATCACTTGCTTAATACATTCATTGTATAACATCTAGCATTTACATGATGCAAACAGGGTAATAGCCACAAATATTTTTTACAGCATTTTTCGCAATATTGGGCATATTTATTGTTATTGTTCTACAAAATATTGGGAATTTTTATTGATATTGTCCTAATACTTCAAAAAAAAAATTGAATTTTGGGAATTTTAAACCCATTGGGAATTCCATGGTATACACAGTGCAATGGGCTAGCTAACACCCTGGCAATATAAAACAAGGAAACCAAGCTCTTCTGGAAGTAAGTATGACATTTAGAGCTGGATTTTTAGCAACACAATTCTGCTATGGTTGTAATTAAGGTGTCTACACATTTTAACACAGATTAAATCTACTGTTGGAATTGAAGCCTTTTCCCATAGTCTCGCAACACCTTGAGCAATAATTTTGTATTTTTCTTTGTTACAACCATTTTGCCTTTCCTTGAGTTGTGCAAATCTCCTTGCAACTTGAAGGTTATTGATAGAACATTTTGTAGCAGATTTCACCAAATATCACATGTCTTGTCAGCTGTTGCATAGTTATAATGTCAAATAACCAGATCAATTCGCTCAGTAGCTAAAACAAAAAACAAGGGGTCATTCCAGATTCTGCAAAATATTAAAAGCTAGCTTACAAATTGGTTTGTTCAAATTTAGACAAAGTAAAGACAATGCAGTGCAACAATACTTTATCTAAAATTACATACATAATATACGAAAATTACATACATAATTGTATTTCACAGTTTTAAACAGTAATTAAACAAAACAAAAAAAGCTATCAAAAAACTTTTTAAAACAATTTGACTTTTTGTCTGCAACTTTTTTCTATGGTCAATCTAAAAAATGAGTGGTAATGGAAAAACTTGTTTTAAAAAAGCAACTTGTATACTAAAAAATTGTTTATTTCTATATATTCAAAGAAAGTTTAATAACTAAATTCTCTCAAATATTGTTTCGTACCTAGAGGATGAAAAAAAATTATTTGAAACAATACATAGAAAATATAAAAACAATGCACATAACTTGTAAATGAAAACTTATAACTAAATACGATAAAAAGTTTAAACTTAAAGTACATTTTTTTTCTTGAACCAATTTTGGAAATAATAAAATAAAATAAAAATATTATTCAGCAATCTTTATTTTGTTTCTTTAACAAAAAATAAAAAATTGCTTTAACAAAAAAACAAACAATTGCGGTTAAGTATTTGTTTTTTAACGACTTAACTTATTCTGAATTAACATCATATAAACCACATTAAAAGAAAATTTAAATATTCCAAAAAATGAAACTTTTGCTTAACGTAAAACTGCTAAACAAGTAAGTAAATTAACAAATTGTTAATTAGCCATAAACGATAAGAGAAAAGTAGTGATTGATATTTATATTATATTAGATAAAGTAATTAGTGTACTAGTTATACTATTTTAAACAGAGGTTCAGTGTCAGGTAATTAAGTTACTAAAGTGGGATCTGTCTTATCACTAATTAAAATTTTGTTGCTTGCTTTATATTTAAATTGTTTTAAAAGCCAAAATCATGACACAATTATAAATATTTTGTTATTATTAGTTTGCAGCCAGAGGAAAAATTAAGACATTAAGGTATGATGCGGTTACTTGATTTATATTTAGTTTATATGGTTTAATAGAGTATTCGTTTTATATTTAGTTTACATTTAGTTTATATGGTTTAATGTGATTCTTTGTAGAAATATCTTTTTTAATTTTAATTTAGTTTGATTTATACGGTTATTAGTAAAATAATTCATTTTATATTTAGCTTCTTTTTAGTTCAATTTATATAGTTTATTCAAGTCACTTGTTTTTATTCACTATACACTTAGATTAATTTATATGTTTTAGTAAAATTATTTTTTTAGTATTTAGTTTATACTTAGTTTAAACCAGTTTTACTCCAAATATTCATGATATATTATACTTATATTTCTAAGTTCGATCCCCACCACGTCCCTGGTAGTACCGCGCTCAACTCGTTTCTCCGCGCAGCGGCCTTGTTCGTTAAGGTTTGTGTTTCGGAGTTATAGAGTTGAGAGAAGGTTATAGCCACAAATAAGTAGCCTCCTCGTCTGTAGTGGCCTTCTCGGCCTTGAGGAGGTGAATTAAAATTAAAAAAAATAAAAATATATATATATTTATATATGTAATTTACATGGTTTTCTTCAAAACACTCTTTTTATATTTAATTTGTTTTATGCTGTTTAGTGGAGACATTTCTTTTTTAGGTTTAAATTTTGTCTAGTTTTATTTAATTGATACAATGCATTCTAATTCTTTAGTTTAAAATTAATTTATGTTTGAACAGTTCAAGCCCGTAGTAAATTTGATACAGGGGAATGGTGGGTTTTACATTTTCAACCATGACTTTTCACTTACCAGAAAGAAATGTGATAAAGAAATAATCTGTATTAATAAATGGATGAATTAGGTAGAAAAATTAGAAATCTGGATATGGCAGGGTTAACTACTAAAAGTAGTTTAACTGTTTAATTTATTATCAGTGTGAGTAATTGCCATAATTTTATCAATGAATTTTGCAGAAATACAATTATAAATAATTGCCATCATTGTGGTAATGATGTGATAAACTAATTAACATAACATTACTAAATTTCTCAATTTGTTAGACAAAAACAAACACATTATAATAAGAAAACGTATGCACAGAAATACTTTAAGAAAAAGTATAAAAATATATTATTGTTAAATAAATTCGTAAATTATATAGTATAATACAATGCGTGAAATTAGGAAAAACGATAAATCTTTTTGAGGTCGGCAAAAATTATTTGGTACAAAGGTCTGACCATAAAACATAGAAACGAGGTCGACAATTTTTAGTCACATTTAGGTCAGCATTGTTGAATGCCAACCCTAATTCTTAGGGTTGATAATACCAGATTCTTGTCAGGAAATGTATATAATACTGACCCTTATAAGGATCCAATACTCTGGTATGTGACACTTTTATTGTTCTAATGCTCATTCCTAGAAGCTCCTGTGGGTTATCTTCCTCAAAACAAGCAATTTTAAAGA